CATAAACAATTTGCCTGGCCAATCACAATCATGCAAGTGCTCTTCCATTTCCAGTCTGTAGGACTCCAGTTCCTTAGATCTGCTTGGATATCTTTGTATTCTTCCACAGTTGCTGCTGCTATCCCGTATTCACAATGGAGATGAACTTGATTCATATTTTACTGCTCAGATTCCAGTTGTAACCACCATCACTACTGCTGTGATGCTCATTTGAATTTGAAAGTTGAAGGCAACCAACAGGACCATGACTTGAGCAAGGCAAATGTCTCAGAAGAAAAATTAATGGGTCACTCAAAAACTTGGTAGTAAAGACAGACATTTGTCTAAAAAAAAATCAAACTAAATGAAAAAAAATCCATTATTAACAGAATTTCAATGTTTGATTAAAGACATGATCCTATCCTACACAACTTGGTCTCACCCTAATTCCTGCCATGTCACATCCTGATGTCAACTTTATTGTTTTCTGATTTCATTGGGAGATAAAAGGCCATATATATGTTATACTTCTCTCTTCTGGGTTGCTCCTTCAAGGTCAAGAGGGCTACCAAACTTCTAGATCAAATAATGCTGCATTGTTACATTTACAAGAAGAAAAATCCTTTAACTTACAAAAATGATCTCTTCTAGATTATATTACTAATGCCTATTTTATTACATACATTTATGCATTAAAGGAACATATGTTTACAATATGGAAAGAAATGGAAAAGTAATGTTACTGTATTATATATATATCTGCATATGCAGTGCATCTCTACCATCTACTTAAGCCATTCCCCTAGACACACACATGCTCAAATGCACACATGTACACAAACACACACATAGACAAACACTCTGGGTGCAGCTGTGAAGTTCAAAAATTGTTTGAGGTATTACTATTCATGTATAGTGATAGATTCCTATTGATGTTTCATGATTATGCTGATAAACTTTAAGTAATGCTCTTTTTAAGGTATTCAGATCAATCCTTGAAGAACAAATATTAATCTTTTGGAGATAGCTTTCATTCTACACTTTATCAATAAAGTGTAAAGACAGGGAAGGACAGTAGTGGTTACTGACACATTGTGGTCTCTGGGCCTGTTTTGAAACATACACCTCTTTATTATGAAAATTCTGACCCTCCCACAGGGCATGTTCTACCAAAACACATAAATTGCTGATATGTTTATGACAATTTTCAAGACTCATATTTAGTCCATTTATTTTACTAAGCAAAAATGCTTTGGCCCAGCCGGGACCGGTTTGGCTCAGTGGATAGAGCATCAGCCTGTGGACTGAAAGGTCCCGGGTTCGATTCCGGTCAAGGGCATGTACCTTGGTTGCGGGCACATCCCCAGTAGGGGGTGTGCAAGAGGCAGCTGATTGATGATTCTCTCTCATCGATGTTTCTAACTCTCTGTCTCTTCCTCTCTGTGAAAAATCAATAAAATATATATTTTTTTAAAATGCTTTGGCCCTGATATTTTCCTGTCTGAGAAAGAAACCAGTGTTCTGGATTGCTGTATAAACGTTGTAGTCATTTTGTAAGGATACCACTAATCCAGGTTTAAGCATATAACTGGCATTTATCAGCTTACCTTCTTGTTCTATTCCTCAAATGGTTTGGGTTGCTACTATCCATGAATATTTTTTGAAAGTTCAATTATCTGTGTATGTTTGTAATAGCAAAATTGCATGAACATATGAACTCAGCCACAGTAGCTCAGAGTACTGTCCTTGCATAACACTTAAAGGAAAGCAAAACTGCTTTTCTGACAAGCATCTCAAACATCCTAAATAGACAACCTGAGACTCAGACAACTGTGTAAATCAACTTGACTCACGAGGAAGAGAGATGTGCCCATTTGGAATGCATCTATCTGAAAATCCAATTACAGTTGCTTAATCACATATGGTTTTATTCATATTCAAGCTGTGAGAAGGTATCACAGAGTTGTTGCAGCAGTTTAACAATGCTATGAAAAACTCGGGGCTTTCCATCTTATCATACTTAGTATATAAACCTTTTATTTATGGCACTTATGGTTGCAAGTTGATTGCTTCTACTCAAGGCTTCCTCCTCAATACCCATGCTGGTTTGGCTCAGTGGACAGAGTGTTGGCCTGCAGACTAAAGGGTTCCCAGGTTCAATTCTGGTCAAGGGCACATACCTTGGCTAGAACCTTGGTTGCAGGCTCCTCTCTAACCTGGGTCCCGATCAGGGCTCATGCAGGAGGCAACCAATCTGTTTTTCTCACATCAGTGTTTCTCTCTGTCTTTCCCTCTCTCTTCCATTCTCCCTAAAAATCAATGGAAAATTATCCTCAGGTGAGGATTAATAAGTAACAAAAAGAAAGAAAAGAGAATTGGTAAAGATATAAGGAACATGCTATCTAAGACTAGACTTTTCAAAAATATTTCCTCCCTTAAGCCCAATCCCTCAACGATACTTTTAAATTGTTAGCAATAACTTAGTTATATGATAAACCTACCTGCAAAGAATTATGGGAACATGAATATTTTGACCCAAAAAGGAAATAAAATGGTCTTGGAAATGGATTTTTTTTTTTAGAAACATGTTTTCATTTCCTATTGCTGATGTAACAAATTACCACGAACTTAGTGCTTAAAAACAAATTTGTTACCTTACAGTTCTAGAGCTCATCAGCCCTCCCTTGCTAAAGTTAAAGGAGGGCTGCGTTCCTTTCTGGAGTCTCTAAGTCAAAAGACTTTCCTTACCTTTCGAGCTTCTAGAGGCTGCCTGCACTCTCCCACGTGTGGCTCCCTTCCATCTTCCAAGTCAGTAATGGCTGATTCTGTCTTTTGCATATAATGTCACTCTGATACTGACTCTCTTCCTGCTTCCTACTTCCATTTCATAGTTAGAGCTCTTGTGATTACATTGGAACCACCTGGATAATTTAGGACAATCTCCCAATTTAAAGGCCAGCTAATTATCACAACCTTAATTCCATTGGCAGTTTATTCCCCTTTGCCACACAACATCCTTGATTTTCTCTCCAGAAAATGCTTTCCTGATAATGAATCTCCTAATTTTAGCATTTTTTACAATTTGAACAGGCTGCAAATCATTAAATTCTGGTTTCTTTTGGCTTAACAGTCCTTCCATCAATCTATCTCTGAAAAAGAAAACAGGCTGCAGTGTCCACCCAGCCTGGAAATCTTCTCAGCTAAATATCCAAGTTCACTGTTTACCAGTCCTTCTCTCCACATTTCCACTGCAGGACACACGATTCAGCTAAGTTTTCTGCCAGTACATAACAAGGATTTCCTTTCCTCCAGTTTCCAAAAACATTTTTCTCATTTCCTTTCCTCTGGTTTCCAATATCATTTTCCTAATTCATATTCTACCAACAGTACCTTTTCCATGATTTAGGTATATGTTTTCTCCACCATGCTCCTCACTTTCTTCTGTGTCTTTGCTATCAGAGTTAATATACATATTTCAACTAACACTCTGTCCAAAACAATCTAGCCTTTAAAAAATCATGCTCTTTAAAATTCTTCCAGCCTCAGCCTAATGCCCAATTCCAAAGCAACTTCTACATTTTTTTAGTTATTTGTTACAGCAGCACTCCACTTCCAACTCTGTATCAGTCAGGGTTCAACCAGAAAAAAACAGAACCAGCAGTAGATATAAAGAGATTTATTACAAGGAAGAGATAAGTGATTGATTCAATTGAGGGAGCTGGCTAGACAAATCAAAAATCAGAGGGGCTATCTAGCAAGTCAAAAATCCAAAAGGGCAGGCTGCCGCTCTGGAACCAGCTGAAGCTGCTGCCCAGTCTTCTTCATCTCAAAGAACACTCAGCTCTGCTTGAAGGCCTTTCAGCTGATTGAGTCAGGCCCCTCCAGATCATTTAGGATATTCCCCTGATTACAAGATTAATTGATTGGCAACCTTAATTCCATCTGAACCGTAAGCCCCCTTTGCAGTATAACATAATATAGTCACAGGTTCCAGGGAATAGGAATCAGATGTCTTAAGGAGGGCATTATTCTGTCTACCATACCGCCCCATACTATCTGCAAAGTTAAGAGGCTCCTGAACATAGAGCTGATTATTTCTTCAAATCATTCATCACCTTCATTAACATATCCTTTTATCTGTTTTCTTTATATTGATTCTACAGTGTATTTTTCCAGATTCCTTTAGGCCCAGAATTTGAAGCTCACTTGAGAATTTCTCTGCAATAGCAAGAGACAATTTCAGGCAATGTATTACTTGGACCTAGAGTCTATTGATCTTTAGAGTTTATAGGAACAAGTTAAACACAGCCAATCTGGGTATTCAGCAAAACAGCACAGAACTCTTATCAGGATCATAACTTCAGTTAAACATAGGGAAGAACCCATGATTGTTCTCAACATTAGATGAGAAATATATATTTTCATGAGATAACATGTATTTTAGAAAGTCTAATTACAATTGTGATTTTGATATAAACAGCATGAAAGTATACATGTTGTTGCCTATTGATAAAACAAAAAATACAGAGTTTGAAAGAAATTGGATATAGGTGAATACAAATTGATTCTACCCAAAACAGAAAATGGGTTATAAAAAAATGATAGCTATGTCTTTGCTATCAGAGTTATTATCTATATTTATAAATAAATATTAAATAACATCTCTGACAATTTACAAATGAAGTAGGTAGAAAGAAATCAGATATTCTTATGTAGTGTCAGGAATACTTTTAAATTTATAATTCCATTTATTCCAAGAGGTTAACTTTCATATTATCCTTAAGAAAAGAGTACTAAAATTTTAGTCAGAAATATGAAATTTCCTGGTAAATTTTTTTTTTACTAACAATATAGTAATTGAAAAAACAATTACAGGACAACAAAACAAAAAATAACTACTAAGGGAGATAGTACAGAAAAAGAAAAACAAGTACAACTACAGGCTATTACTGGATTTTTAAAAAATGAAGGAAAGATAAAGGAAACAACAATTAATGGTGCAAGTGGAAAGTTTCAGATACCTAAATTATTATGGAATGTTGGATTTCCCTTTGCCTTCCTCTCAATCTCTTGACCTAGAATATTGGGAAAGACAGGCTTCAAGAATTTGAACTCATTACTTCCAGAGTCTCCCGTCAGACACACCTCATACTGGTAGCTCTGGGACAGGGTCCCAGTACCGCTCACGTCCACCAGGTGGCCAGGAAGGTGGCCCTCAGGCACCGAGCAGCCACCCGCCCAGGCCGCCCTGCTCCGCCTGCACAGCCGCACCGCCACCAACGCCAGCACCGAGAACAGGAACAGCGACGACACCGCCGCCAGCGCCACCACCAGGTACACGGTCAGCGGATCCGCCCGCGCCTGCTCGGCCGCCGCCTCGGGCAGCGGCAGGTAGGGCTGCGAGAAGCCGTCCACCAGCAGCACGTGCAGCGTGACGCTGGCGGACAGCGCGGGCTCGCCATGGTCCCTGACCAGCACCACCAGCCTGTGCCTGGCCGCGTCGCGCTCGCCCAGCGGCCGCGCCGTGCGCACCTCGCCATTGTGCGCCCACACGCCGAACAGCCCGGGCTCCGTGGCCCTGAGCAGCTGGAACGACAGCCAGGCGTTCTGGCCCGAGTCGGCGTCCACCGCCACCACCTTGCTCACCAGGTAGCCCGGCTCGGCCGCCCTGGGCACCAGCTCGGTGCAGGGCGCGGAGCCGTTGTGCGGCGGGTACAGCACGGAGGGCGCGTTGTCGTTGGCGTCCAGCACCTGCACGCGCACCAGCGCCTGGCTGCTCAGCGCGGGCGCCCCGCGGTCCGTGGCGCCCACGCCGAACTCGAACGCCCGCAGCGCCTCGAAGTCCAGCGCCCGCAGCGCGAACAGCTGGCCGGTGTCGGCGTTGATGGCCACCAGCGAGGCCAGGGGCAGGCGCGGGTCCCGGGGCGGCAGCAGCGAGTAGGTGAGCTGGGCGTTGGCGCCCGCGTCCCTGTCTGTGGCGCTGACGCTGCCGAAGTGCAGGGCGGGGCTGTTGTTCTCGCAGAGGGACAGGCTGTAGGAGGGCTGGGTGAAGGCGGGGGCGTTGTCGTTGACGTCAGAGACCACCACGGTTATATTGTGCTGGGTTTTCAGCCTGGGGATCCCCAAGTCGGTGACGGTGATGGTGACATTATACTGGGCTCTGGTCTCCCTGTCCAGGGCCCCATTTGTTACCAGGGTGTAGAAATTCTCTTCAGTTGGTTTCAGGAGAAAGGGGAGATCATCTTGGATGGAGCAAGCCATCCTCCCATTATCCCCCGAGTCTCGGTCTCGAATCTGAAACAGGGCCACTTCTGTCTCGGGGGAGTTTTCGGGAATGGGGCTGGTAAGTGATGAAATACTTAGCTCTGGGGCGTTATCGTTAACATCCACCACCTCAATGGAGACAGAACATTTTCCTGAAAGTCCCCCGCCATCAGAGGCATCTATATCCAGCTCATATGAGGATATTGTCTCAAAATCCAGTTTTTTGATTAGCCGAACTTCTCCTGAAAGGCTGTTTACTTCAAAAGTTTTGCTTATCTCCCGAGAACTATAGGAAAGGGCGTATGATATCTCTCCGTTTGTCCCCGTGTCTAAATCTCTAGCAGAAACTTTAACAACTAGGGAGCCTACAGGGCTGTTCTCAGGGACCTGCACTTGGTAGAGTCTCTGTGCAAACTCAGGGGCGTTGTCATTGACATCCAAGACCAAGATGTGGACCTGGGCGGTGCCAGACAGGGCTGGAGAGCCGCCATCCAGAGCTGTGAGGGTTAACCTGAGCTGGGCCTGCTCCTCACGATCCAGCTCCTTGTCCAGGACCAGCTCAGGGTATTTCCTGCCATCTCCCAGGTCGTGGGTGGTAACATGAAAATGGGAGTTGGGACTGATGCCATAGCTTTGGATGTTGTTTCTGCCCACGTCCAAATCCTGGGCTTTTTTCAGAGGAAACACGGTCCCAGGAGGACTAGTCTCTGGGATTTTCAGCGTCATTTCTCTTTCAGGAAACTCAGGAGAATGATCATTTATGTCTCTCACTAATAGCTCAGCTCGAAATACTCCCAATGGTTTTTTCAGTAACACTTGGAAACGCATCACACACGGGTCCGTGGAGCCACACATCTCCTCCCGGTCCAGTTTCTCATTTAATATCAAGTCCCCGGTTTGCAGATCAAGCTGCAATCGGGGTTCCTTATCTTCAGTGACCACCCGCGCTCCCCGCGCAGCTAGCTCTCCCGCTCCCAGCCCCAGGTCCTTGGCCACGTTGGCCACAACGGAGCCGCTCTCCGTTTCCTCCATCACGGAATAGCGACGGGATTCCCATCCTGCCAGAGCCACTCCCACCAAAAGAAAAAGAACCAGGACTTGCCTTTGTTTAGGAAAGCTTTCCCCTTCGACCTCCATCTTTATTTCACAAACACCTTTCCAGGAACCGGCCCAGCTCTACCTTAGGGAGCAATGGGACTGCGATAAGGATGGATCTCTCAGTTGGTAATCTGTCCTGAAATGTTGCTGAGTAGCATTCTCTGGACATTCTCTGGTCCTCAGCTCCCTTGCAGGCTGTTTCTCCTCCTCCAGCGATCTGAGATTGAATTAGTTGAATTTCCTGGGCTCGTTTTTTTTTCTTTTCCTTTTTCTTCTCCTTAGCCTGCAGCGCCACCATGCGTTGTCTTCGAAAAAATAGCTACAATCGCATTCTCTATTTGTATGTACCTATCTATAGTAATCTAATAATCCCAATCATCTATCTATCTTGTAATACCAGTTAATTATTGGGAGTTTTGGAACTTTTTTGGAATATTGTGTAACCAGAAAACCATGCAATTAAAATTATTCATTCAGTCAAAGACATATTATTGATATAATGTATTAGGTTCCGAACTATATTAGTAAACAACCCAGACATGGTTTTTATCTTCCAGAATCTGTAGTCTTGGGGGATGTTCCAGAGAACTGAGAGGTGAAAGAAGACTTATTAGTGATCAGTCATCTTGTAAAAATAAGAGTCAAGTTATATGGTTCCTTAAAATTCTCTCAGCAAAAATGAATGAATTCCTCTAGATTTCCTTTCAGATTCTAGACAGCCTATATGCCAGAATTGTGGTTCTTATTGGTTAATCACATCACAGAAAAAGCTAGTTTATTGCAGTTTACATATTCTTTCTACATAAAATCAGAGAGTTATGATATTTTAATCTTTTAAACTACAAAAGAATGCATATGACAACACTTCTTTAACTCTGAGTATGCTTCATTGATCACCATCTGATAACATGCTAACTTATTTCTTTTCTGTGTCATCCTTGAGTCCCAGAACTTTTTTGTTATTTTGATATCCTTCAATAGCTAGTTTCAGGCACATGGCAGATGCTCAATAAATATTTGTTAAATAGATCAATGAAGAAATCACAATGTAAAAATTTTGACAGATGGATTCTCCTCCTACTGTAAAAGCCCATTTTACTGTAATATTAATTTATTGTATGAGAAACCATGCTCCTAAGTAGCTATTCTTTTTTTAATAGTAATTTAATAGTAACTCAGAATGATCTAAAATGTTCATTAAATGACAAAATACCCTTGCTCACCCCTGAAAAAAAAGGATACATTATAAAAAAGAAAAAACAAAACAATCAGGCTACAATGATTCTACAAATAGGGTATACATTTCTTTAAAACATTTTTACATTGTCAATCTTATTTCACACTAATGATATTAACTATTTCTTATATAGAATTTTCTAAGAATTTCTATATAAAGTGTACAATTTGGAAATATCCATCAATTCTCAAAATTATGCAGTTAACATTAACAAATGTTTGTGCTTGTCCCTTACAGATTACTAATATTCCACCATCTTTTGACCCAACTATTGTTAAATTAATATGATAATCACAATTTTTAAAAAACTTACCTGAGAATATTTTCCCATTGATATTTTTAGGAGAATGGAAGGGGGAAGAGAAAAGAAAAAGAAAGAAGAGGAAGAGAGAGAGGAACATCTGTGAAAAGAGACTCCTGGATTGGTTGTCTCCCCCTTGCATCTCAGGTACTTGCCCTTGACCAGGAATTCAACCCTGATATCCTTTAGTTCAAAGGCCCATGCTCAACCACTGGTTGATTTTAGAGATAAAGAGAAGTATCATTTTGTTGTTCCACTCATTCATGCATTCATTGGTTGATCCTAGTATGTGCCCAGAGGGGGGTTGAACCCACAGCTTTGGTGTATCAGGATGACTAACCAACTGAGCAACCCAGCCAGGGAGACAACCACATTTTTTATGTTCCAAATCAATAGTAAGTTTTAATACATACAAGAATATGTAAACATGCTTTTGACAAGTGAGGGGGAAAAAAACACCTGTCTTAATTAGAAGGAAATTTATTAAAAGAGCATTTATTTCCAAAAACCCAAAAGAGAAAGCAAACTTGGGAGAAAATGGAAAATATACAATTAGGTTATTCTTTAGACATCTGCTTCCTTCTTGTCTCTAAGTGGATTGGTTTTCTGTACTTCTTTCCATGTATTCAGCTAGCATAATATTAAATTCTTATTAAATTCCTATCAAAGAGATTATTTTATATCTGGTTTCCAAAGCAATATTTTTAAACACAGAGAGAATTAGATTGGCACAGCTTGGATCAGCAATGTCTACCACTTTGTCTGTCTGAAATCACAAAAAAGGGTCAGTAATATAAATATGACTGTAACAGTAGACATCTACTGAAGATGGAAGTTTCCAGAAAGAGATGTGGTAGAATCTGTTATTTAAATATTATATTTGGAAAGAAATTAATCTTTCACTATGGTGATGGAAGATGATTTGACTTTGGGTGTTGGGCACACAATGCAATATACAGCTCATGCATCATAGAAATGTACATTTGAAACCTATATAATCTTATTAACCATTGCCATCCCAATAAATTTAATTAAATAGTAACACTCATATATATCATATATGGAATGTTGATATAAAGAGGTGAAAATCAAGTATGGGAGAAATCATTGTTTTTCTATTTAATATTACTGTGAAACAAAAACATGTACTTTTTGCAGACAGTTATCCATTTAAAATTTCTAGACAGGTAGACATAATACTATATTAAACTGAAAATATCTTAATAACTCATTAGATTTGTATCATGCCTGTCTCTTAAGAAACCACAATATTAATTTTTAAAAAATGTTTCTGGACAACATTCAAACAGAAAATGGTCCTGGGGTTATCTTCAAATCAATTGTGGCTGATGAAGAGTTGATAAGTTGAACAAATATCATACTTTTTAGTAGGAAGTGCAAGTTCTTTGTCCTAGTCAAATAGAAATGATAAAAAGAGAGTAAACAAGCCCTAGCCCTGTTGGCTCTGTGAATAGAACCTCTACCTGCAAATTAAAGGGTTCAATTCCATGCCCTGCCTGCAGGATGTGTTCTCACATCAATGCTTCTCTCTGTCTCTCATCCTCCTTTCCACACTCTTTATCTAAAAACAAAACAACAACAACAACAAAAAAATAAATGAGAAAAATTATTGGGTAAGAATTAACTAAGAGAGAGAGAACATGAGTTTATACTTAAAGTTTCTAATCTCCTTAACTGGGAAAATAAAATCAATGAATATCTGTATCTACCAAAATCGATAAGGAAGATATATTTTTAAAGAACTCATCTTCATCTGCAATAATCTGAAAATTTTAACATATTTCTAATTGAATCCAAAACCATTTACAAAATTTGAGTTTTCCTCCACACCATTCACAGACGCAGGATGGTTGAAGGCAACAGATTTTAGGAACTTAAACTCGCTGGTATTTCCTGAGCCTCCGTTCAGACACACCTCATACTGGTAGCTCTGGGACAGGGTCCCAGTACCGCTCACGTCCACCAGGTGGCCAGGAAGGTGGCCCTCAGGCACCGAGCAGCCACCCGCCCAGGCCGCCCTGCTCCGCCTGCACAGCCGCACCGCCACCAACGCCAGCACCGAGAACAGGAACAGCGACGACACCGCCGCCAGCGCCACCACCAGGTACACGGTCAGCGGATCCGCCCGCGCCTGCTCGGCCGCCGCCTCGGGCAGCGGCAGGTAGGGCTGCGAGAAGCCGTCCACCAGCAGCACGTGCAGCGTGACGCTGGCGGACAGCGCGGGCTCGCCATGGTCCCTGACCAGCACCACCAGCCTGTGCCTGGCCGCGTCGCGCTCGCCCAGCGGCCGCGCCGTGCGCACCTCGCCATTGTGCGCCCACACGCCGAACAGCCCGGGCTCCGTGGCCCTGAGCAGCTGGAACGACAGCCAGGCGTTCTGGCCCGAGTCGGCGTCCACCGCCACCACCTTGCTCACCAGGTAGCCCGGCTCGGCCGCCCTGGGCACCAGCTCGGTGCAGGGCGCGGAGCCGTTGTGCGGCGGGTACAGCACGGAGGGCGCGTTGTCGTTGGCGTCCAGCACCTGCACGCGCACCAGCGCCTGGCTGCTCAGCGCGGGCGCCCCGCGGTCCGTGGCGCCCACGCCGAACTCGAACGCCCGCAGCGCCTCGAAGTCCAGCGCCCGCAGCGCGAACAGCTGGCCGGTGTCGGCGTTGATGGCCACCAGCGAGGCCAGGGGCAGGCGCGGGTCCCGGGGCGGCAGCAGCGAGTAGGTGAGCTGGGCGTTGGCGCCCGCGTCCCTGTCTGTGGCGCTGACGCTGCCGAAGTGCAGGGCGGGGCTGTTGTTCTCGCGGAGGAACAGGCTGTAGGAGGGCTGGGTGAAGGCGGGGGCGTTGTCGTTGACGTCGGAGACCAGCAGGGTGATGTTATGCTGGGTTTTCAGCCTGGGGGTGCCCATGTCGGTGACAGTGATGGTGATGTTATACTCGGCCTGCTTCTCTCTGTCTAGAGGGCCCTCTGTCACCAGCTTGTAGAAATTCTCAACGGAATGTTTCAGCGTGAAAGGGAGGTCTTCCTGGATGGAACACACCATCCTTCCATTCTCCCCAGAGTCTGGGTCTTGAACACTGAAAAGAGCTATGGTAGTTTCCGGGGAGTTTTCTGGAATGGAGCTTGTAAGTGAAACAACCTTCAGTTCCGGGGCATTGTCGTTTATATCCACCACCTGTATTCTGACAGTGCATTTTCCAGAAAGACCTGCCCCATCAGACGCCTTAATATCCACCTCATAGGAAACAGTTTTCTCAAAATCTAGGTTCCTAATGATTGTCATCTCACCTGTGCGTTCACTGAGTGCAAATGTCCTAGTAATCTCTTCATCGCCATAAAAGAAGGAGTAGGCCACTTCCCCGTTTATTCCCGCGTCTAAATCCCTAGCGGAAACAGTGACAACCAGGGACCCCAGGGGACTGTTTTCCGGGATCTGCACTCTATAGAGTGGCTGCACAAACTCAGGAGCGTTGTCATTGGTGTCCAAAACCT